ATAATATCATACTCGATCATACGATCATTCGCGTTTGCTTGCCATATCCCCCGGTTCTGCTGATCAACTCATCACTAACATCTCAACACACACCATAGGGATCAAAATGCACACGCTCACAAATAAAGATGGTTTATTTTGTGACAAAAAAAAAAAAAAGCAAAATGATTTTATTGTGCTGCTCGGTGCATGTGCATCCTGTATGTGTGTGTACAGGATGTGTGTGTCGATTCAGTAATAAATGCAGAACCGCCTCACTCTAATCAAGCTGATTAAAAATTCCTGCGCGCGTGCAGGCGGAAATCCACCATCATCATCATCATCATCATCCTCGTTCTCCGGCACTTTTACTTTATTCTCGCGTCCATCCTCCTCCAGGACAGCGACAGACGCGGGAGGACCAGAAATCCGTCTTCAATCGCGTCGTTTACGAGATTTAGAGATGAGGAGAAGCGGCAGGCAGCGCGGAGAGGGAGGGATGAGCCGATGCAACTCATAATTTAATGGGGACAGAGAGAGAGAGAGAGAGAGAGAGAGAGAGAGAGGCAGAAGGGAAACAGAAAGAAAAGGACCGAGCGCGAATGTTACAAATGTAACAAGCGGAAGATCCAATGTAGCGCTGACGTGCGTCAGGAATGTTCGGATGCTTTGATGTTTCATTCGACGTTCGAAAGTGTATCGCGCACTTTTAAAGCTGCTTCGGATCCGCAGATCGGCTCGAGATGAGACGGCAGGTCGCTGGGCTTCGTGCTGTTGTTTGGCCAGATGAGAGGCGATTCACGAGCGCTTCTGGTCCTATAGGCGCGTATTGTTGAAGCTCAATGGGATGTGTAGGGAACGCTGGCGGTTACTTTTATTTTTAAGCGTTATTCTGCGCACAGAACGGACGGTGGATGTGCTCGTAAACTCTATTGAACTCTAGACTCACCGGAGATCGTTGCATTTCGGCTTGATTGCATGCGACTACGGTCTTTAGCTCTCATCACATTTTAAAGTACTTTGCGCTTCGTCTATATTGGTTCTACGTGTATTATGCGCCGTAATTCATGGCTTAGCGTTTGACATTAGGTTTTGGCGTGGACGATCTGGAAGTTTTCTGTTTCAGAATAGAATGGCTGACATAAAACTGATTTTCGAGTGAAGTTTGAGCTCCTCCTGACAAAACTTGAAGTCGCTGTTCATCCACAGCTCCTTTATATGTTCTTCTTAAAGTGGTGAGTTCAGGCTTGTTATTTTTCTTATTTCTTTGTGTTTTATTGAATGATTTATTTTATTTGTAAATGTTCTCTTTTATTTTTTTAAATCTAAAAAAAAGAAAGAATATATTTCTGTATGCACACTAGAAATTTTTAATCATTGATTTTTATGATATGCACCTAAAATGTAATGTAACCTGTACATTATCTAGTTATATATGTGTTATATGCCTGAATCAACCTGCTTTACGTTACAGCAATGAATTTTAAGGGTCTGGAGAAGTAGAAATAAATGTTTTTAAGATAACACTTACTCATTTTTAATTTAAAAATGTAACCAAAATTTAACCCAACAGTTGGGTTAGTCCATATTTGACCCAACATTGGGTTGAAACAACCCAGCATCTTTTAGAGTGTACCTGTTTTATTGGGTTTTAAATGAAGTTCATCTGGTGTTCAGTGCTGTGGAATTCATTGCATGTCTGATGTCTTGTTTGGCCTGTTTGATGAAATCTAACCCCGTCTGTCATGGTGTCTGGTGCAATGTTCCTTTATCACTGCAAATGCAATGTTGAGACAAGGTGCACGTCCCTTTTTTCCGGTAATATTAGATAATCCGAGGACTTTCTTTTGTTTTGGCATTTTAGGGAAACTTTTTTTGGGTGTCATTAAATACAAACAGTTGCAACCAAAAATATTCTCACTGTGTTTTACATGCGTGTCTCAACTTCAATCAGGAATTCAGGGTCTTTCAGTTTGATACCAATAGATCTGATCCACTAAATATTTCACAGCCTGTCTCTCTTGTAAGGAATGGTTCATTGTACGGTGTGCTGATCACTGAAGTGGACTCCTCTGCACATTAATGCGACTGTACAAAAACTAGCTTGTTTGCTCTCCACATGGGATTCTGCAGTGGGTTAGACATACATAATACATGCACTTAGGAATGGGAATGTAATCATTGCATGAAACATTGTAAATTCCATGTAACATTTGGCTTGATTTGACATTTCAGTCTACATGGAAGAGACAATCTCATTGTTTTTTAGGTTCAGTAATCTTTATAATTGGGGGGAAAAAGTTTATGATGTTTATTTTATGGCGTTTGATCATCCAGTCGTCTTGACGCCACTGCTCTTCTTATTATTTTTCCCTTCAGGTGACAGTGAGCAGTGGTGCTGAGAACCATGGAGCATCTCAGCGAAACATGCCAGGGGAAGGAGAACTGTGAGATGGTCAACAACCTGAATGACACCAAGGCCCCTCCGGCCAAAATGGCCCGCCTGGAACAGAACGGAAGCCCGCTGGGCAGGTCTCATCTAGGTAGCACTGGAGCGAAACTCTCCGGAGTGCACTTCAAACCCCCTGGACATCATCTGAAGGCCTGCCACAAGAGGGGTGAGTTTGCTTTTTCTTACCACTGCACTCTTAAAAATAAAGGTTCCGAAAGGGGTTTTTCACTGTGGTGCAATAGAAAAACTATTATTTGTTCCCCAAAGAACCTTTCAGTGAACAGTTTTTAATAGAACCATTTTTTTTAAAGTGTGAAGAACATTTTAAATATCTGAAGAGCCTTTTTTCACTATAAAGAACTTTTTGTGCATTTGAAAGTTTCAATGGATGCTAAAGGTTCTTCATGGAACCATCAATGCCAGTAAAGAACCCCTTAAAATGCCACCATTCCACAAAAGGTCTTTTATAGTGGAAAAAGGTTCACATTTCTTTGGGGAACCAAAAATTATTTATTGCATCACTAGAAAAAAAACCCCATATGAAACCTTTATTTCTAAGAGTGTGTGTGGAATTGATTTTTGTGAGAAGCAATTTGTCTGTCCATTCAAATTTGGACCAATGATATTTCACAATGGATGGGGCTACCAGATATTTAATCACTCAGAAACCCAAGTGACTGACAAGATGTCCCATTTTATGTTGTGGCCATGGACGGTTAGGACCCTTAAATCGGGCACCTGGCTAAATTATGATGTAAACATGCAAAGTAGTTTGCGCATTTTATATATTTGTTGCATAACTATGCCACCAGCAGCATTTCTAAGAGTACATTTAGTAGTTATTGTAAGCACATTTGTATTGTTTTTATAGAAAACAGTCACTGTAGTATTTTGTCTGCTGATTGGTATATCACAAAAAACATTTCAAATCGAAATTCTTAGTAAATGAACCCTGACTATTTTATTGGTTGCTCATTTGACATTTTAGAGCATTGCTATTTATTTTGGCGTATATATATATATATATATATATATATATATACTGTATATCTGATATAAGATGTATATCTGCAGTGTACAATTAAAGGGAAAACGCTTTAGCTACAACAACTAGCGTCAGTTGTTCATGTTCACCTACCGCATTCTATAGCTCTCTGGGTAACTGTTATTATTATTATTTATGGGAAAAAGTGAACTTTTGCTGAGTGCTTGCTGAACTTTGGAAGCTACTGTATTCATTGTTTCAGCTGAATAATATTTACCATGGGCTTTTCTCAGCTCTCTGGGAACAAAGCGTGTATTGATCCCGAAATGAACCGACGCAGCAGTCTTTATTGTTAGACCTTTATCTATTAAAAATGGAAAAGCTTCGATTCAGCACATTCCCTGGCATCTGCTTATGATTACCGTATTTATTGATTGTTTTCCAGAAAACGGTCACATTCTTAGGAAACTGCGACCGCGAGGAGCAGAAATATGATTTATTACGATTGCCCCGGATAGACGGCGTTGATATTTCCCCCAGCCTGTATTAAACCCTGTAAAAATAAAGATCCTGGGTCTAAGAGATCATGAAGTTCCTGAAATCTCATCACCGCAGTGTTGCAGCTGGCTGGTATTATGTGATATTTGCACAGTAAACCCGAACACATGACAGCTTTGGATGGAGATTCTTCGGTTTTTTGTTTTTTTTTCTCTGATAGCGGCATGCTGTTTACACAGACTCGTAAACCTCAAGGCTATATGGTGCATTGGGAGCCACTTCACAGCATCATGGGAAGGGTACTGGGAGCTGCCTGAAGAAGTATTCTAATGTGATTTGAGCACCTTAACAATAAATAAAGCGCTAAAGCCGCGATGAGCTCTAACCTTTTAGTGTGCTAACACGTTTAAACAGCAGAGCTGTTTCGTTGACGTCATCTCCTCTTGTTCTGCGTTCTGATCTAATTATGTATGTTACAATGCTGCTTTATTGTAACACGTTACAGTGGATGATAGACAATTGATAACACAGCCTTGCATAAAAAAATATTTCAGCTGATTTGCTGAAAAAATTACCTAATTTGATTAATGAAAACTTTTTTTAAAGATATTTTTTTCACAAAATAAGAATGACGATTTTTTTTCAAATGATATATGTATCAGATTTAATGCAATTTTCAAAATAAGTCAAATGCCAAGTTTTGTTTTAATGACAAAATGTAGCATTTAAAATGTATAATTTAGCTTACAATTAGCAAGCGAGTTAAAAATATGCTCAAATACTCAGTTTAATGTCAAAGCACGTATTGCACTTATAAAGCACTTATTAGTACATACATATTACTTTGTTACTGTTAAATTTACCTTTATTCAGGGTATCAAGGATGCCTTAAATTGATTAAAAGTGACAGTAAATAAATGTATAATGTTACAAAGGATTCTATTTCAAATAAATTCTATTTAGAAATAGTAAAATTTAGAGTTTCAGTTTTAATGACAGAAGCTTCGAAAAGTATCATTCAACTTCAAATCTGCAAATGAGTGTCAGAGAACATCAATAAGTTTATGAATAAACAAGCTTTTCACCAGTGTTGGGGAAAGTTACTTTTAAAAGTAATGCATTACAATATTGCGTTACTCCATAAAAAAGTAACTAATTACGTTACTTAGTTACTTTTTATGGAAAGTAATGCATTACGTTACTTTTGCGTTACTTTTTAAATCTGGAATCAGGGCTTGCTTGTTTGCTTTTAAAATAAAAAAGTTATATTTTTGGCAAATATAAAAGCCCTTTCACACCAAAAGTGAAATGAATAAGCCTCAGGCTGAAGGGAAAGTAAATTTACTTCCGTACAGTAGAATGAGGAAGAAGACATTTCAACACACTTCAGCAATAAAAAAAGACAAACAAATGTTTGTCTAGAGCAATTTTTGCTTATTAGTACGGTTGAACTGGATCATCGAAGGTCAGAAGAAAGGACATTGGTTAATGAGTTGCATTATTTTTATTAATTTTGAGCATTTTATACTTATTTGAAAAAGTAACTCAGATATTCTCTTGTAAATTAAAAAGTAATGCGTTACTTTACTAGTTACTTGAAAAAAGTAATCTGATTACGTAACTTGCGTTACTTGTAATGTGTTACCCCCAACACTGCTTTTCACAAAATCTGTCATCTTCTGTCGCTGTTTGGATGTAGTGAACCACCCATAGATGCAGTAGAACTGTCTCGTGTTTGCATTTTCTTCTGTCCCTGGTCATAATTCTAACCTTGAAAACAGGATTAGGCATAAAACAATGTCATATGTGGAAATCGGCTGATAATGGAACAAATAGTTGTAAATTATCTCAGAAGAAAACAGGAATCATGTTTTTGTAGTGACTTTTCTGCTGATTAAGGGACAAAACAAGACTTCTTCACCCTACAAATGCTTGTCAAAAGCAAAAATGCTACAAAATGCGTAATTCTGTAAGAAAAATATGATGTGATTCCCATTTTTGGAATCAGCGTGGTGGTGTTATTGGAGGTTGCATGCAAAGGAAAATGTCATTATTATTCCTATTGCCTATGCTTAGGATTCAAGGTTTTTTAAAATGGTCACCCTAGCAACCACATAGCAACGTGCTATCATTAAAAACAACTTTATTTTTCGCTCAAGTATTCTTTGCATTTGTATGAAAAATATGATGTGATTCCTATTTTTGGAATCAGCGTGGTGGTGTTATTGGAGGTTGCATGCAAAGGCAAATGTCATTATTATTCCTATTGCCTATGCTTAGGATTCAAGGTTTTTTAAAATTGTCACCCTAGCAACCACATAGCAACGTGCTATCATTAAAAACAACTTTATTTTTCGCTCAAGTATTCTTTGCATTTGTATGAATATGCAACAAAAATAACACTGTTGTTCAAAGTCTGTGGCATTTTAGCATCTCCCTGTTGTGTTGCATGCTCTCTATGCAGCGGTGTAAAGCTCTTGTTTCTGCTAGGTAACATGCTGCCAGTGTTTTGTGTGGTGGAGCACTACGAGAGCCCCATCGAGTTTGACAGCAAAGAGGAACATGCTGAGTTCGTTCTGGTCAGGAAGGACATGCTCTTCAACCAGCTAATCGAGATGGCCCTGCTCTCCCTGGGCTACTCGCACAGTTCGGCTGCACAGGCTAAAGGTATGGCGTGTTTTTATCATCCTAAACATGGCGTACAGACACATGGTGCACGGTGATACCTATTCATCCAGAATGTGTGTTGTTTTGTTTTTTTTGCCGTTAGATCAGAATCATGAGTCATAAAATGCCGGGCAGATGCTCGGATATTTTTGGAGGCTAAACAGATATTTTTGGAGTGATTTGTTGGCTGTGTTCTGGTGCATGCATGCTTCTGCTCGGGCTGACCTGATGGGGCTACTCGCACAGTTCCGCTGCACAGGCTAAAGGTATGGCGTGTTTTTATCATCCTAAACATGGCGTACAGACACATGGTGCACGGTGATACCTATTCATCCAGAATGTGTGTTGTTTTGTTTTTTTTGCCGTTAGATCAGAATCATGAGTCATAAAATGCCGGGCAGATGCTCGGATATTTTTGGAGGCTAAACAGATATTTTTGGAGTGATTTGTTGGCTGTGTTCTGGTGCATGCATGCTTCTGCTCGGGCTGACCTGATGCCGAGGTCAGGGGGGTTGTGGGTAGAGGCAGGAACACACAGGTGCACCTCTTGCTCTCTGTAATCACACTTTTCTCAATGGGAACGAGTGTGGAGGTGGGCCTGTGGTTTCTAATTGCAAGCTTTATGGAGTTGGGGGCTATTTTAAGAGCCGTAGCCTTCAGCCTGTAATTTATTGCCTGCTGTCCATCATCATTTCCTTTTTTCTTTGGATCTTCTGGATCTTATTTTTTCTGTTACCCATTTAGTGCCAGTCATCAGACAACATATGGTCGAGCAATATTTTTTTTTTAAAGAATGCTGTTTTGCAACCTTGTATAAAAAATACCATGGTATTACCATAAAAATAAACTTTAGAAGGACCATGACTGTGTTTTAAAACCAACAAGTCAACATACAAGTTTCATACAAATAGAGCTATTCACAAAAGACTCGACAAATTGATTTCAGTAGAGTTTGGCATTATAATGTGTGATTAAGTTCATGTGATATTCATAAATCAGTACTGCTGAAATGTTGAGAAATGAATACCGTTATTTAGCAAGGATGCATTAAGCTGATGAAAAGCGACAGTAAAGACATGTATAATCAATGTTACAAAAGATTACTAGTTCAAATAAATGCTGTTCTTTTAAACTTCCTAGTCATCACTCCTGACAAAAAGTATCAGTTTCAACAAGAATATGAAGCAGGACAACTGTTTTCAACTGAATATAATATGAAATATTTCTCAAGCTGCAAATTAGCATATTATAATGATTTCTGAAAGATCATGTGACTCTAAAGACTGGAGTAATGATGCTGAAAATTCAGTATTGTGTCACAGGAATAAATTACATTTTAAAACATTTTCACACAGAAAACAGTTATTTTAAATTATAATAATATTTCACAATATTACTGATTTTACTGTAATTTTGATCAAATAAATGCAGTCTTGGTGAGCTTAAGAAACCTATTTCAAACGCATTAAAAAACGACAGTATTTTATATTAAAAAACGTATGCACAAATATTAGTTAAAATTGTCAATCTTAATTATATTTTGGCCTTAACTGTATTTGTAACCAACATTTCTCTCATTTCGCTTGCCATCTTGGATACTCCTTTTAATTAACCCTGTCGCAATGCATTATGAGATTCATGTGTTGCTGCCTGCAAAAGGAGATTGCTATAAATGTAGGCAGTTCACTAGATTTTGAGCGAAAACTCAAAACGGACATCACTCTTATGGTAATACCATGGTATTCTTTGAAGTATGCTACTATACAAATGACTATTTAGAAGCATGGTGCAAGAATATGGTTATCAAATAGTGCTTATAAAAGTATCGTAGCTGCCTTTTTTTGTGAAGAGCTAATAGAAATGTGCAGTCCTTCATTACCGTGTGCTGTCGTGTGAGTGTCTGACTGTGGTAAATGGTGTCGCCTCACCGCAGGTCTGATTCAGGTGGGCAAGTGGAACCCCGTGCCTCTTTCCTACGTGACGGATGCACCCGACGCCACAGTGGCGGACATGTTACAGGACGTGTACCATGTGGTCACGCTGAAAATCCAGCTGCACAGGTCAGTGTTTCCCATGTACTGTAGCCACAGTGCCGCCACATACAGTGCTGTTTTTCCCACAAGCCACTGCTGTGGGCACACACAGACACACCTCTTCCTTTTTCTGTAGACATCCATGTACATCTGTCTGTCTCTGTGTCGTCTCCAGAGGCTGTGTGGCTGTCTCACACGGATCCAGTCTCTCCTTTTCTTTGTGTGTGTGTGTGTGTGTCTATGTGCAAACATAGACGTGTTAATTGCACATTACAGCAGTACTACCGCTCATCCAATTACTCCAGTGTTTTAAAGAACTACGAAACCATCAATATTTAATTATTAATCCGGGAAGCCTTTTTTATAACATAAATTCAAGACTAAGAATGTCATTTTTACTTGCAGTGTCAGCGTCTTTTACCATAAAAAGCCATTTATTTACATTGAAGTATGAATCATACAATAAAAAATGTGATTTTCTTTCAAGCTTTTTAAACAATATTTCCTATATTTGTTTTGCATATTTTTATATTTATATTCATATTTTTAGTTCATGTTTCATTCAAACTGAATGTATATACAGCTATATATATATATATGCATGTATGTACACGCACATACAAAACAATAATAATGACTATATATCATTGTGATATGTTTAGTTTGGTGTTCGATCAGTGTTACCAAACAGGTTTCCCTGTCTGCCATTGGTCAGTCAAACAGATATTCGCTCATTCATCTAGTTAGTCAAATCTGTTTGTCTGATTGATTTTGCAGTTCCGTTTTGTCACACTAGTGGCGCAGAAATGACGCCCTTAGCTTTAATTTTCATAGCATGCTGGCGTTGAACATCTCTGAATGTTGGTTTTTTTTTTGCATGGAGTGTTGCGCTATTTTCTTGGCAGCTTGCCGTTTATTGCGTCCTATTGAACAAGCGTTCATTAATGACACCCTGAATGCAGCTGTGTTTTCTCCGTTGATTTGATGGTGGATTTTTTTCCCCAACACATGCATAAATGTTCTAAATACTGGATTTTTTTTTCTTTTAAATAAAGTATTTAGATGAGAGTGGATGCTGGTCCTTTTTAATGCATCTAGCATCGAAATCTAGATGGAAACACCTTAAATTGTTTTAGCAAGCACATCAAGGCAGGAAGGTAGAAGTAACGTGAAATAATAGTCGCCACATGCAGCTGATGTATAATTCATGCATCAATACAGCAGATGTGTTGTATAAAGTAATTAACTAATCAGAACAATCAGGAGAGAGAGAGAGAGAGAGAGAGAGACTCCAGATGCATCTGCTTCATGCGCCAAATGAAATCTGTCTGTCTTAGAGGGACGCTTGCAGCAGGAAAGCAAAGCCCAGTGCTCACTGTCCTCTCTCTCTCTTTTGTTTCCCTTTTCCATCTCTCTCTTGTTCTATCCCTTCCTGCAGTTGTCCTAAACTGGAAGACCTTCCTCCAGAGCAGTGGACCCACTCTACAGTAAGAAATGCGCTCAAGGAGTTACTCAAAGACATGAACCAGAGCTCTCTGGCAAAAGAATGTCCCTTATCACAGGTGCTGGAGCCTTCCACGTCTAGTTGCCAAGATTGCAAGTGTCCCTTTTCAAATGCCCAGAGTTTGATAGAGTGGAAATGGACAGAATTGCCATAGAAATCCAAATCAATAGCCATTGTCATCCCCGTAGATTAATGCACTTTATTTTGATGCTGTTGCAGCAGTGCTAGCCGTTGTGAATGCGAGTATTGTTGGGTAAACAATGGGCCAACCACAATGATCTTGATAATGCAATTTATAATACAAGCTGTGAACTGTTATGGGTGAATCTCACGAAACCTGTCAACATGTCGTGTTTTAACCTTAGAATCTGTGGAAAGAATTATGGTTGCTTATGCAAAAATTATTTTTACTGTATATTTATGTCAGTTGCAGCTCATGTTCTTATTACCATAATGCAAAAAAACTAAAATTATTTATTTGATTTATTTGAAATATTTATTTAAAAATACAAATTTAGTTTTTAAATCAAATATTTAAAATGTATTTATACATCATGGTAGTCTTTAACACTTTTGATTTTAAAAATAAAAAATAATTAGGGCAAAAAAGCAAGACATAAAACATACAGACTGTTACAGTAATGAGAATTTGAGGGGGAAAACAGCTTTATTGTGGTGAAAATAATGCAAACATTTTTGGTCCTAAAATTGGGCTTTAATATAAAGATAATACATTTTAGTATTAAAATAAATAAAGTATTGATACAGCATGATAGTGTTGTTTTGGAGTCTTTATACTGATTTTTTTATTTAATTATGCTGATTTTAAAAAGTGCAATACAAGTGAGATTTAAAACATCCAGACTATTAGAGTAAAGAGAATTGGAGGGGCAAAATCTGCTTCAAAAAAGGATTGGTCTTAAAAATAGGCTTAATTTTTATGTAAATTAACTATTTATTTTAAAACTAAAAGATTATTTTTAAATAAAGTATTTATACAGCATGATAGTACTAGTTTTGAGACTTTATGCCGTATTTTTTAATTTATGCCGATTTAAAAGTGTTATATAAAAAAAATTACTGTATTACTGTAATAAAAATCTCACCAGAATTACCTTTGAGAATAATCAGGAAGAAAGTAAAGCATGAAAGATCAAGACTATTACATCAATGAGAATTTGAGGGAGGAAATCTGCTTAATAGTATTGAAAATAATGCATAAAAATTGAATTGTCCTAAAAATGGGCTTCATTTTTATTTTATTTTATTTTTTTAAGTAAAATATAATTTCTCTTTACGATTTGTCCCTCTTGATTTTGCAGTGAAATGTGACCTTGGCATGTTTCCATGAGATTCACCCTTAAAACCACAATGTATTTCAAGGAAAGGCGAGTGTTTCAGCTCGTGTGTTGGTGCGATCGCAGTCTACTTCGTCTCAGGGAAGCCCGTTCTTTTCCTGCAGGTGTGTGCGTGTGTGGTGATGTAAAGAGTCCCAGGGTGCTGTTCAGGCAGCGCAGGGGCTGGGCCGCTCCACATCTCTCTAATCACTCTGTTTACAGTCCATATGTGAGCTATTCCCACTGAGCAGCGGCCCGGTATTTACACTGAATTAGAGTCCGCTCACAGCTCGCTTGCTGTAGGCTGGGCGGCCCGCACGCGTGTGCTGCAATTTTCGGGGGAGGGGAGAGTTTTCTGCTTTTGTTGTTTCTGATTTCTCTTGCTGGCGTGAAGGAGGAGTGTCTTTCGCTAATTTTAGTCGTTACTTCTCCAGTTAGAACAGGCTGCCTCGTCTGTGTTAGGGTCGTCTTTGATGGGTAACCTAGTAGAGGTGACCTTTTTGTTTGGTGAACAGTCTTGCTGTTGAACAGGAAGAGCTGGAGAGATCAGGCCGATTTAAGAACAAATGCCAACTTTGATAGGCTTAGCGACGTCTTGATACTCCGAACGGCAATCCCTGCTCTTGAAAAGGTTAATGAATGGAGAATCAGAAGGAGAATTAGGCCAGAATGGATGGGGATTGTGAATGTAGTGCTTTTTTCCAAAGCTACATTTTTTGTTTAAGCTTATATGCTAACAGGAGCCGTTCATTCTAGTGTAGTTGGTGAACTTTGTGTATGAGTAGTTGGCTAGTCATTCTTAAAGGAAGCCTTATGTAATAATGTTGATTAGATGAACTGTCATACACCAACCAGACATTTTTCTTAGTAAAACTAGCAAGTCGGACAGACTTCAACTGAATCAGGCGTCTTAATATGTTTTTCAAAGTTGAAGTAGTTTTCATTTGACTTTAACGCAACACTCACTGTGCGAGAAGCTGAGAAAACGGCCAAATGGCCAAAGGAAAAAAACAACAAAAAAACAACAACAACCAAATGCACTGATGTTATGCATGCATGTGCTTTCCCATGACTATAGTTTTTCTAGTTATTATTGTGTTATTACTGAAAAAAAAAAAAGAAGTGAGCTCTGGAAAGGCACTATTCAAGTTAAACATTTTAATTTTAATTTTGTTATGATATTTAGCAGTACTCATAATATTTATGATAATATTACATAACATGCATAATATTATTATATTATAATATAATAATAATAAATGTCATAATATTATGATAAAATTATAATAAAATTATATATATATATATAAAATAAAAATTATAAAAAATAATGAAATAATAAAAAGTTTAACAAACCCACCAGTTGACCTCAATAATTGACCAGCTGACCCATTCCTAGTTCTTGGATATTGTTTTTAGCAGAATATAATTCACCTGCCATCAGACCGTTTTTTTGTGCAATTCTAGAGAAAGGAGAAAAGTAAATTGCTTGTCCAGGTTTGTGCGGGGCCCCTCCCGCTCATCAGCCGTCTTTCAGCACACGTATGTTTCCCTGTGATCAAACTTAACCCCTGTGTCCCCTCAGACAACCGCAACAATAGAGCTCCCCACTCACCCCATGGCCCTGAAAGAGCAGCTGTGTAGCTGCATAGCAGCAAATAGCCGTCAAATGCCATCTTTGCTCGGGTTTTGACATGGGCTTTTCCTCCTTTCTCATGCAATGGATGAAAAAGAAGCTGTAATTAAGACGTTTTTAAAGAAAAAAATGAAAAGGAGGGGGAATTAACCCTTCTCTCCAGCACAGTGCAGACAGTCCCTCCGCAGGGAGACTAAAAGATGGCACGTAAGAAGGAAGTACAAACAGTGAGCGCCTGGCTAGATACGGAGCGTTTTCATGAGACTCTCCCGTGACGGAAAGCCAGATAGATGTTCAGGTCGATAATGGCGTGACAGACTTCCTGGGCGCACCGATAAGCATCACGATGGTTATCTTTTAAAGAGGCTTGTCCCATTACCTGTTGATGGCTCCTGGCGTTCGGTACACTGAGGTGTTTATCCACGCGGTGGATGGGTCTCGGGAGTTTGAGACGAGTGATTAATGAACGGAGCTTTTCTCAACATCTGTGTCAACTGTACCCACTATGAGGGTCTGACTCACATCAGATCTCAAACAGATCTTTGATGACTCATGAAATCTTGGTAATTTAATTTCTCTTCTGTTGTTAGTTGATGGTTTTGTTTGTAAGCTCCCTTCCATCCTGGCTGTTGTTTGAGATCAGCGATAAAAGAAGCCGTGACATTTTAAAACGCCAGTTGGCCTTCAGATGTGCGGTTTGAACCTGGCCTCCTATCAGCATGGCACTGTGGTTTCATATTCCGCCCTTGCTTTTGGAGAGGGTCTTCTGCTCGTCTTGGATGCCGTTATACACTTTTCATTTCTACGGCAGCACAAGCTTTGGCAGTAAAGGTTAATAGTCCTTCTCAAGCATACACAGAGATGTGTACTTTGGTGAGTGGTTAAACCTCGTCTGGCTGGTCCTGCTGAACTGTGCACCTGTTCGTGGTGGAAAAAGGTTCCAAAATAATTTTTGTGCCTGATGCTGTTGGAGGACCTTTTAAAAAATCCATGGAGTGCCCTAGTTCTCCTAAAGCATTATATGGAACTTAAAAAGGCTCAGTTTTCATCAAGTTGTGTACCATAGAAGATTTAGTGATGTCAAAGGTGAACAATTTAAAGGGGTCATTTGATGCGATTTCAATTTATCTTGGTGCATAAAGAAGATCTGTAAAGTTGCAAAGACTAAAGTCTCAAATCCAAAGAGATATTCTTTATAAAAGTTAAGAGTCAACCACGCCTACCTAAAACGGTTCGTTCTAACACGCCCCCACATGTCTACGTCACGATGTGGGAAGATTTGCATAACGCCACCCAAATGTTCACGCAAAGAAAGAAGGCGTAACCTTTATTCTCGCTGTAGTATTGTTGTTGCTGCCGCCATGTCATGAAGGCGCTGTGTGATTCGTTGTGAAAGCGAAACTACTTTGTTTGGCCTTCCAAAAGAGGACGATATCTGCTTCGTCATGCCTGGAGCTGATCCGTGCTGGTTGCTGAGGAAAAACATCAACTTCGCGCTGTCGATCGCCGGATTGGCTTTCACCGTGGACGAAGCGTGGTCCAGCCCGGGGTCGTCACATGTGGTTTCCGCAAGCCCGCCGGACACTCCTTCGTCGAATCCGCCGGCCGCGCCGTTCTCAAGCCCGCCCG